TCCCGACTCCACGTAGGGGGGGACTCGCTTAACCATCAGTACGTTGGGCGTCGACAGCGCTCCCAGTGTTAATGTGTCTTCCTAATTAGCTATTTTTGTGAATTACTTGGAGGGGGCAATGATTAATGAGTCTTTCGCGATCTGGGTGGTGGGGGGTTTTCGTCGCGTACACGTATACAAGTGACCGTCGATCTCTGCCCCTCACCCCACGTCAACCCAACAACATCCTGATGCCAATTGTTCAACCCTAGTAGGCTCAATTGCTCAAGGCTATTACATTATTCGTTACTCATTGCTCGTTTTGCATCTGTCGACCCTTTTTGGGGTCCCACTGCCCCGTAATTTTGTCGATTCCGTTGTATACCTCGTGCAACCTGCTTATCGCCATTATTATCCATCCATGATTCCGTGCTTCTTTTATTTTTTCGAGCCATCATCGCTCATTATTGTGCCGTGCCCTTGCTATGATTTATAAATTATAACCGTTGTCACCCTCGTGAACGCCATCCGTACATGTGGCAGTGGCCATGTGGGTTTGGTCCGTTCCGACCACGTGCCGCCGGCTACTGAATAATATAATATTTATACATATTATATATCCTTTCGATCGTTATCTGAATGAAAATTGTCTCGACTTTTCTCACACAGTGTCGTTTTTGTCCGGACGTTTCCACGAGTACACGATGAGGCAGCAATACGTATTCGCTTCCTCGACACCCGCTTACGTACAATCCATGCAGCTGGTGTCCAATCATCGTCCGCAATTGCCACAGCCTTTCATTTGGTCTGATCAAGACGACGAACATGACATAAACTGTTGGCCGTTATTATCGAAGGTACCTATAGCTACATCAGTCTTCACCGGTACTATATAGGTAGGTAATACACACGCTATAAATGTTATTACTATTATTTTATAATAGGTACTATTTTTCTTGACAGCACAGATGTCAATAAATTATTATTATTTGATAAGTTTGCATTCCGTTTTCCTGCCGAACGCCAATCAAGAAATATGCATTTGACATTATTGGTTTTTAAACTGACCTTTGTATAGCTCGGATTCCCATCTTGGACCTTGATTTGCTATAATCGAGAGCATATACATCAAGATATAAATTAATATTAAACTCCCAGAACTTCCGAACCCTAGTTATAGGTAACCTATAAGAGTTACCCCATCTTGATTCTTGAATCTTTAGGCCGAGAAGATGTTAAAAAATTGCACTACGCCAGCCCGCCTGAACCCTCCCCCTATTTTATTATATATGTAGGTATAAATCATAACAAATATATGTTCAAAAACTGAATATAGGTAATTAGATCGTCTGAAATAATAACAAACTACACAATATTATAATAATATACCTAATAGTTCTAAAAAATACTAATCACTAACCACAATATTACGATACGTAAAATATGCGTAAATAAACAAGCCAACACATGATTTCGGAAAAATATCATCTATCTACCTATCTATCATTATCTCACAGTTCAATAATAACCCTTATTTAGGATGTATAAATATTATAATATAGGTACCTACTATTAAAAAACAGTTAATAATTGTTTTGTGCCTGTGCACACGATAAGTAGTCAAAATAATGCTTCGACTTTCCATTTAAGATTCTCAGTAGTTATCAAAAGCGCCTGGAAAAACAAAAAAAATTAAGGAAAATCAGGAATTTTGGTTTTTGGTGTAACTTTAAAAAAAAAAAATGTTTATTTGTTGGGTCAAAAAGCTTGAAAATTCAGTACAAGGCTCCTGATATATAGTTAGTAACTAATAGTTACCACAGCAATTGTAAAATATTAATACATAGGCACATTTTTTTTGTTATAAGCATTTAATGTCAAATGTTGACAAATTGATTAAATTGAAAATTACAAATTATTTAGTAGTTAAGAATGTATACAATTTTCTACTTTTATTACTAAGGATTAGAAATTATACATATCGTACATATTAAATATAGTAGAACGAAATACTTACAAACGTTATGGTCAGCCGGAGTTCCTTAGTAACTGTACTAGTCTCTGGACTAACAAACTCTGGATGACCATAACATTTGTAAGTCTTTCATTCTAGTACCTATATTTAATATGTAACTAAGATTATTGTTATTGTGTAATAATACAACTAGAACTTAATATTTTATCAATCTTTTCTGAAGCTCCTGAGTTATGGTTGAATTATAAATTATAATTCAAAGGACTTTATTAGTATAAAGGATTAAATTACCTTTATTTTGTTATTATATATCTACTATTACTAATAAGTAAATACACTTGCACAAATAGTTATCAAAATTTGAATTTTTAGTCAGCACGACATAATTAGCATTATAAAAGATGTGTAAATTAATCTAAAATTTTGGGCCTTGCAAATTTTTTTCACTGGACCCCATAATTCTTGAGAGTTACTAGTTATCCCCTCCCATCGATAAAATATAACATGTATAATTTCAGTATCTGATTACATGGCACAAATAGTTAATAGATTATTTTCTATAGGTATGTTAAATTTATAAATATTCAAAGTTATTTTTTCTATTATTATTCGTAAGGACAGAATAAAAAATCAACATTGTAAAATCATTACATTCATCGCTCTGTTCAGAATGGGGTTCAGAATCTAAGAATGATTCAAGCTCCAGACTCCAGTGGGTAAATGTAATGACTAATGAATATAATTAATCCTTCTATACCTAAATATTGCTCTTGACAAGTGAATACTATGATAATTAGAAGCTACCTATAACTCCGCATTTAACATAGTATATTTTTACACTTGTCATATGGGATATCTTAAATCACACTTACAAATATTTAACCATGAATAATAAAAATAAAAATAAAGATCATGTAATTTTGTTTGAAGTGCTGCCCCTTTTGATCTAGGAATAGCTTGAATTTTTCTTTTATTGTATTCTTTTATGTACCTAATGTCATATTTTGAGTTTCTAGTTTCTTTATTACTATCACTAAAAATTCCAAATGTGAGGATATAAATATTAATTTACCTATTGACAGTCAATAACTGACTAACACAGCAAGAGCGAATAAGATTATAGACATAAAAGTTTCCTTCAAAACTAAATAGTTATCTTATCTTTATTCGAGTCTTCATTACAATTACTATTAAATTAGTACCTAATACTACATTTTAGTGGCTACATAATGTATTTTTGATTTTTTCTTCTTGACTATATATTATTTTATACCTTTTTTAAAAAAAATATTTGTTGCAAATAAATATGCAAAAATATGCGAAAAATGCAAAAAAAAAAATTTCCATTAATTTCAAACCTATTATGATTTGTACAGATTACTGATATAAATCCAAAAATGTGAAAAGGAAAAGAATATGCGATTGCATAGAAATCCGCATTCTTAACATAATGTACCAAACCCAAATAAGGAAAACCACAAACATTTTTTGCATACATCTATTAATGAAATCACAATTTTGATAACAACTAAGACCCCCAACCATGGCACCACCTTAGTCATATACTATGGATGGAGCCATGCAAATATTGTTTGCGTTGGGGGTTACCACTCGAAAAATTAAAATACTTGGTATATTACATTTTATTTGAAAATAAATAAGAAAACCATAATTTTCTTATTTATACTGGGTAATTCTTTTATCATCAAACACTTATTATTTGAAAAAAAAAAATATTTACATAATTTCTAGTCATTAAAAACAAATTTTTAAATATTATTTATCCTCAACATTTTTTAAGTCTTGCTTTTTAGAATAAAAAATACAGTTATAATTTCATATTCCAAAGCAGAACATTTTTCTATGTATTTCGATACATAAAAATCAAATTTATGAGGAGTGATTTATGAGTTATAAAAGAGGGTTATAAATATTTAATGTTTGGATGAGTAGAGTGAGTGGAGTATTACATGGTATCCCGCAAACTGTTGGTCCACTACTCCACTTTTTTAAACTGTATAAACCTACTTATAACTCATAATTTACTCATCCTAAATTTGATTTTTATGTATCGAAATACTCGGATAAATGTTTAGTTCACCAGTCACAATTTTAACAATGATTATGTATACCTTGTGAAGAGGGTCAGAGAGCACTAAAGCGGAGTGCATTTAGTATTTACCCTTCCTATCATCAACCAAACATCACAACTTTTTTCCTATCATAATATCGATTTTGTTGTCATAAATTAAATTTAGTTAAGTAATGTTATGATTAATATTAGATATTTTTAAAAATCTATAAAATTAAAATACTAGGAATAAAAACTGTACAGTTAAGCTTTATGCAGTCCTTTGCTTCTGGCAAAATCAAATTGTGAGCACGCAACATCTAGATAATTACCTACATAAAAGAAAAACATTTTCTGTATTAACACATTTTTGATTTTTTTTTTTTAAATAATTAACAATAATTCAATGTTAATCTATCAATCATAATTTAATTTTTATTATTATGAATTAAAACTATACATTAATATTGTAGAAAGTACAACATAAATATACAAACTCGTTTTCTAGCAATCAAATGTATTATATTTATCAGATATTATAAAGAATAAATTTTACATTTAATTATAAACATAATGTTGTTATTGACTACTACTACTACTACCTACCTAATTATATTATTTTTTCACGCTAATTACATTTTTTATTTTTTATTTCTATTAAATGTTACTCGATAACTATATAATTATAATAATGTTCCTAAATACAATAGATGTAACAAACTAACCGAATAAAAAAAACATTTGAACATAAATAAATACACAATAAGTAATTACAATAACACCTAAAATTATATGATAAAATAAAAATTACACAGTTATATACGAGGTTATATATGAACAAATTAACTATGACCAATTATGTATTGGGTACAAAATTAATTAACATAATTATGTTTAAACAATTAAAATTTACATACTAAAACAATACACAATATAGTGTGTATTAACAACGAAAGTTATTCAAACAATAATAATTTAAAGATTAGTTGAATGATCCTGAATAAGTTCGCTGTGAACAAGTTCATAGGCAATTCTTTTTCTTAAAAGTTGACAATCTGGCTGTGTGAACTCGAGTTTTTTCCCCAGAAGAAAATATCTCGCATTGGTACATGTAAAGACGCCACAATCGTAGGTATTTTTTTGTTGGGGAGAATTCTCTATTTGATATTTCCAAATAGGCATGGTCCTCTCCTCACCTGGTTTTTTTACTGAGTAATTATATGCCAGAGATAAAAATTCAGTTACTATATAATACTCCTTCATATGAGTTTTGTTGAAACTATCAAAAGAATGTACTATCCCTTCCCATATGTCAACCACAAACAAGGCCCAGTGATTCTTGTTGGGGTTAATGGGAATGACAATTCTTTTGAAATTGTATAAATTGTTTGATTTTGTCCATTTCATAACTGTTGATTCTTTTCTTCGCCCAAAATCTACCCAAGTATCCGTGGTTATAATTAATGTTTCTTCACAATTATTTACTAATAGTAATAAATAGTTCAGTATAATAACATCATTTAGCCAGGATTTAGGTGTGAGGAGCGTTATTAGATCTCGCATATGTAGGGTATACCCGTTTAATTTATTGCGCGAACTAACATAATCATTTACCCTCTGGCCCTCTAAGAAGTTAATGGTTTTTTCCGTTTTTTTTCTATGTTTTGGTAGAATTTTTTTTACATTTTTAGGTCTTTTAACTAATTTTATGCTATTTAAATTTACTACCGGATTATATGCTAGCTGGTCAATATTCGTGTCTTCATCGTCACTATCACAGAGGTTGATTGTTGATGTATTTTCTTGGATACTTTCTTGGGTACTATTTGAAACTGCGTGTATATCGTTATCCTGGACTATTGTTGAAGAATTAGTATCAAAAACTTCCATTTGATGCAGTGATGCATTGCTATTATTAAAGTAGTGAGGTTCATTGTTGTCTTCAATTATAGAATTATCTTCAGTAAAATCCATCATCTTATATATGCTTTACAATAGGGTCAGGTATATCTAAAAACAAAAACAAACACATAATAATTAAAACAAATAGTAATAATTATTTAGGTAGTAATTTTATATTAAGTTATGAAGACACATATAATCACATGGGGAAAAATAACAGCAATAAACCATCTAAAAGGCTAAATTGAATAGTCTACATGTGACAGTAATGTATTCAATCAATTAATTATTTTGATTAATTAATTTATGATAATACTACTCCTAGTTATTGAAATAATGGGTTTAAGTATCTAATCAAGTTGAAAATTTAAAAAAGAGTTATGAAAATGTATGTATTATAATAGGCAATGTTTAAGGGTCTCCTGCGGTACATTGCCCGTTGGGTCCAAAGGGTTTTACCATTCGCGGATTTTACTACAAGCACCGCAACTACGTTTCTTGGCCCCTGATCCAATAAGGGTTATCACAGAAAATAAACCGTCACAGTGGATTCTTTTCTGTCAAAACAATGTGTTTACTTTTCAAACGGTGCGACAGCGCTGCCGATAAGTATCATTGCTAAGTTTACTATTTTATAAAATTAATATTGGCAAAATCTGAGGACTCAAGAATTTTGGAGTACTGACAAACTAGATATACACTAGTCATAACTTGGCTTATTTCCCCTATATCAAAACTTCACAACCTCATTATATAAGTAAATCACAGGTTTATTAGTCTGATTACACAATTAATGAAAAGTTAGGGGGATAAAATAAAATAGTAGTCTCATGATTAAATTATTTAAAATATTATTTACCTACATTAGGTAAATAGTTATAATTTTAACTTATTTTAGTTTACTCTGTAGGATAAACACGATCTTTATGTGTGTATAAATGTCACATTTGAAACAATTCATAGTATTTAACATATTTATATTTAATTTAATATATTATGATATGGCAGATTACATTTTTCAGGTTGACGGCAGAAAGTTTATGTATACACCAAAATAATGGATTAAATATAAATTATGTAATACATAATATGTGTAAAATATAATTGTATTCAATTATTAATTTTAATCTTAAGCATGCTCGAATAAGTGGCACTAATTAATTTCAAAAAAAAAATTGAATTTCATTTTACATATTTTTACTGAGGTAAAAGGTTATACAGTATGATTTTGGTATATCATAATAATTTGAATTATTTTATAAGTCGGAAAAATTATAATAAATATTAAATACAATAGTAGGTACATAATTATTAAAATAATACAATTTATAACATAATATTTTAATCATACCATTTTTCTTACGTAATGACTAAAGACCAAAATAACACACAAAAATGCCCTAAAAAAATATAACAAATTAACTCCGAAAAAAGACGAAAAATCACCATAAATAAGTGAAAAAAATGTAATTTAAAAATAATTATTATTATTAGAGATATAGGTGTAATAATAAGTTTCAGAGTAATTTAAAATATTAATTTTAAAATTAATAGACAATAGAAAACATTACAAGCATAGGCGCAAATTGTGGGGGGGCTTGGGGCTACCCCCCCCCCAAAAAAAAAAACCTAGGACATACAATTTTAAAATGCTATATTGCAATGGTCTGCTTGCCTTTAATATATTCAGTCCCCCCTCAAGTCAAAAGTTGAAATTACTCCTATGATTACAAGTTTAGTATACCTACTGTAAAGAAAAGTATATTTTTAAAAATAAATTTAAAATT